TTAGGCTTGTAATGGGCTTGCTGTCCTCTTTTAGGCTTGTAATGGGCTTGCTGTCCTCACTTAGGCTTGTAATGGGCTTGCTGTCCTCACTTAGGCTTGTAATGGGCTTGCTGTCCTCTTTTAGGCTTGTAATGGGCTTGCTGTCCTCACTTAGGCTTGTAATGGGCTTGCTGTCCTCACTTAGGTTTGTAATGGGCTTGCTGTCCTCACTTAGGCTTGTAATGGGCTTGCTGTCCTCACTTAGGCTTGTAATGGGCTTGCTGTCCTCACTTAGGCTTGTAATGGGCTTGCTGTCCTCACTTACTTAGGCTTGTAATGGGCTTGCTGTCCTCACTTAGGCTTGTAATGGGCTTGCTGTCCTCACTTAGGCTTGTCATGGGCTTGCTGTCCTCACTTAGGCTTGTAATGGGCTTGCTGTCCTCACTTAGGCTTGTAATGGGCTTGCTGTCCTCTTTTAGGCTTGTAATGGGCTTGCTGTCCTCACTTAGGCTTGTAATGGGCTTGCTGTCCTCACTTAGGCTTGTAATGGGCTTGCTGTCCTCTTTTAGGCTTGTAATGGGCTTGCTGTCCTCACTTAGGCTTGTAATGGGCTTGCTGTCCTCACTTAGGTTTGTAATGGGCTTGCTGTCCTCACTTAGGCTTGTAATGGGCTTGCTGTCCTCACTTAGGCTTGTAATGGGCTTGCTGTCCTCACTTAGGCTTGTAATGGGCTTGCTGTCCTCACTTACTTAGGCTTGTAATGGGCTTGCTGTCCTCACTTAGGCTTGTAATGGGCTTGCTGTCCTCACTTAGGCTTGTCATGGGCTTGCTGTCCTCACTTAGGCTTGTAATGGGCTTGCTGTCCTCACTTAGACTTGTAATGGGCTTGCTGTCCTCACTTAGGCTTGTAATGGGCTTGCTGTCCTCACTTAGGCTTGTAATGGGCTTGCTGTCCTCAGCTTCCAACAGGCTGTCGTTAACTTCCACTCATCAGCCAAGTGACGCCTGCCTTAGGGAATCAAATAAAGGGCGGACAATTTTTAAGGTCCACGAAAACTAGCATAGACGTCTGAATTTTGTGTAGTGATTGGTAGAAGAGATGATTCATATTTAAAATTTTATTTCTTTTTTTTTTTGTCGACACAATTTGTCTAAATTTTGTGTAGATCTAGTGTTTGATAGAAGAGATGATTCATATTTTAAAATTTTGTTTCGTCTTTTTTTGTCATCACAATTAGTCTAAATCTTGTGTTGAGTTTGGTGGAATAGATGATTCATATTTTAAAATTTTGTTTCGTCTTTTTTTGTCATCACAATTAGTCTAAATCTTGTGTAGTGTTTGATAGAAGAGATGATTCATATTTTTAAATTTTGTTTCGTTTTTTCTTTGTCATCACAATTTGTCTAAATCATGTGTAGTGTTTGCTGGAAGAGATTATTCATATGGGTGATGGTTCCAATGCCTACATAGGGTCTTAGCTTACCCTAAAACCCATACACGGTTGTATCAAATGTATTTAGTGAAAACAAATATCGAGAAAATCGTTGATACTGAAAGGAAATTGATTCTAAAAAATCCGGTTGTGAAAATGATTTATGGAAAGATTTAACCAAGAGAAAAGAAGAAAAAAATCGTCAAAAGGCAAACGACCACTTAACCCAGTTTTCACGACCACCTGAAGTTTGAATGCAATACGAATTTGAATGAGAAGAAAAAAAAATGCAGTCTGTGACCGCCTGAGGCGAATGCTGCTCACTACAGCTGGGGCGACATCTATTCTAATGTGTGAGCGCCACGAGGGATAACTCTTGACGACGGCGCACGTGGTCAGGGAAAGCTCGTGAGGAAAAGAAGGTCGCGCAACTGTCGCCAAAGATAAGACGGTCGCTCAATGGTCGCGAGGACAAGACGGTCGCTCAATGGTCGCGTAGTTCAGACGGTCGCTCAATGGTCGCGAGGACAAGACGGTCGCTCAATGTTGGAGAGGACAAGGCGGTCGCTTAAGGGTCGCTGTGACAAGATAGTCGCTAAAAGGTCTCCATAAAAAAACGGTCGCTCAAGGACAGTCAAAAACAAAACGGTAGCTGAACGGTCGCCAGGACAAGACGGTCGCTCAAGAGTCGCCAAAGACCTAGTCGTTGAAATGCTACTATCACCCCGTTGTGTGTAATCAGTGTGGCAATAAACAGCCTCCGGGCAGAAATCGATTACATTATTTACTCTTTTAATAACTCCCGCGTGCTCCGCCGGGTACGGTAGGTTTGAAAAGCGCCACCCCACCCCCTTCCCACCACCTCCACGCACGCTAGTGAATCATTGCACGTTCGTTATGTTATGTAGCAAGACTTCCCATCGGAAGGACTTCGTTTTATTTTTTTAGGTGGCTTTTGAAAAATTAATTGTCGGCTTTGTTTTTTTCGCTACGTACGGGCGAGTGGAAAATGAGGGGAGAAGGGGGGGGGGGCATAAGATGCGTTAGTTCTTATGAGTTGTATAAAATGTGTACTAAAATATTTTCCATAAAGTTTCCCTCGTCCTGTGTACAACTGACCAACCTGAGTACACGTTCTGGTCCGTTTTTTTGGAAGAGACAACTCTAAACGAACACGTGTTTTTTTTGTGTGTGTGTTTGAAAACATTTAAGTAAATTAAAAAAAAAAGACATGTGGCATTTCCAAATTAAAAGTTTGTTCTTTGTTTGATTGTCATAATATGCATATGATAAACGACTTTTTAAAATTGTTTTAAAATGCCTACTTTATTTTTTAAATCGAATTTAAATGCCATTGATTAAAAAAAAAACTCGAACTTTTAAGAATGCCAGATACGAATAAAAGAAAAACGAAAAATAAATATATAAAAATAAAAACCTGAACAGTTATTGATTATTTTATAATACAAAAAATATCAAAGTTTTCCCCAGAAATAGATGGTCCATGATATAAAACTTACTTATGATTACAGTGGTTTCTTTTACAAATTACATATAGAGCTGTTTGCAAGAACCCGGAAACACAAGCACGTTCATCAACACTTTACAATTGTCAGTGGCGTAGCCGAGTCGGGTTAGGGGAGGCAAACATTGCTGAAGGTCTGCCACCCATTCCCTAGCGTATAGAAATGTGTAGCTTAGAAGCAGACCACATTCCAACTCCACAATTAGGGAAACACCAAAAACAGATCAGCCGACACCAAAACCAACCGTAACAAAAAATAACAAATCCATTGATTCGCTAATATAGGCCTGTATACTTCGATATTTTAATTGTAAAACACAAGACTACCTTAATCCTAACCATTGAGTTTTTATTATCGGCGATAAAAAAGAGAGTTCCGATTATGGGGGACTAACTGCGAAATTTAAACTAAAAAAAAACTTACCTTAGGCCTATTGTACAGGAAGTTTCTCTAGCATCGCTAAAAACTGATCTCCAACACAAGCCACAAATCAAGTTAGAACATCGACGCAAACTAGATTAAAATTCATAAATAAATTATTCCATCGCTAACAGAGCGGAAAAAAAACCCGGATTCGTCGATAAAAGTTTAGCCTTCATGATTTTGCAACAGCTTGTGACATTGAATTAATTCACAATTTTAAAAGTTTTACCCAAATATATTTCGGGCAACAACCTTAAGTTAACATTGAAAGATAAAAAAACTTAAAAAAACTCGAGCATTGGAACACGAGGACGCCCACAAATCCCTACTCATTCCGGACACTAGACTAACCCTTACACCGCGCGGTTGGTACATATGCGGGTGGGGGGAGGGATGTCTCATCTCGCAGCACGTGCCACCGCGTGTGGTATCATCAATACGCCGTCACCACGGCAACTGCAGCCGCCGTCGTCACCCGTCGCCACTTTGAAGTCTGCCACGCTTGGCAGCCGCCCCGTCAATAGGAAAAGCTTGCTTTGTGGTTAAAAATAAAACTACTCCACGTTTGGTAGCAGCAGACGATCAGCTGATAAACCGATTCGATAATAGGCCTACTGTATAAGGCCGGAAGTTTAATTATAGATTAGTGACGGTCGTATAGCCGTCGTGTAGTAATAGTAGTAGTAAACAAATATGGCGTACAAGTAGTACACTACATGGCACTAATTGAACTGTTTTGTTGGCTGGTCATTAAACGCAGAGGCGTAGCGACCCTTCCCGGGGACAAACTTTTAGATTTGCACCCCCCCCCCCCTTCAAGATTTCGATTTGCACCCCCCCCTCAAACTCTCGATTTGCACCCCCCTCCTCAAACGTTCAATTTGCGCCCCCCTCAACCTTTCAATTTATTTTTCCAACCCATTTTAGCGGCCCCTAAGGTCGGCGCCCGGGGACACGTCCCCCCCCCCCCGCTACTGATTAAACGCTATGCAAGCAGTGGCGTAGCCAGAATCGTCTCAAGGGGGGGGGGGTTTCCAACTTTTACCCGGGGACAAACTTTCGATTTGCACCCCCCTCAATCTTTCGATTCCCACCCCCCCTCATACTTTTTATATATATATACCGAGGGTTCTATGGGGGGGGGGGGGGGGGGTCATGACCCCCCCCCCCTGCCTACGCCACTGTATGCAAGTGACCTTCCCCCCCCCCACCACCGCAGGATAAAATAACTTTAATTTGGAAACAGTAGGATGGCCTTGAAAGTGAAAGTATTGATTTATGGACTAATAATTTGGAAAATTCTCGGCATACACTCATTACACTGTAAATACGTAGGCTACTACATTACTGCTAACATTAAAATAAGAACATGAAAATTTTATCATTATACCACTACTGGATAGAGTACAGATGTTAAAAATCTAAATTCTCAAAGTCGCTCTAAGTAATATAACATTCAGGCCACATAGTAAAATATTTAATGAAACAATTTCTCTCAAGCAAAACATTTTATTTTATTCATCAGTAATCAATCATCATCATCAACAAGGAAACAACCTTTGTAAACATAATTAGTAAATTGTATTAGATCTACCAAAAATTCAAAATTATTAAAAAAAAAAAAACCCAAAAAAAAAAACCAAGGTACTGAAAGATGTTAATTCAACATTTTTAATAGTTTCAAACAAAAGGTATTAAATAGCAAAAAAAAAAAAGAATTACAATTGAAACTGATTTTTTTCTTTTAAATATAATCGCTAACTTTTTTAAAGCAATATATTCACATTTCTAAGTTTTCATAGAGCTTGCAATATATAAATATTGAAGTTAAACTTGACACCTTATTTAGCTCAAGTTAATCCTCAAGTGCTAAGCTGATGCTTACAATTTTATGCTGTGTAATTGTACAGTATTAATATCTGGATACATCAAACATCAAAGACATAGCTCTAAATAAATAACAGTATTGCCAGACCAGTAGTGCCACAAAGTGGGGGCAAGGGTGCTGGGTGTCACCATTGGGGGGGGGGGGGGGGCACTACACCAAAATGAACATTCTCCAACTTAAATGAGAAAATCTACTTTCTCCAGTTATCAACTGTGTACACACCTTTCACTTTGTAGCCATAACATCATTTATTATGTATCATTAAATAAATTTAAATTATTAAATCATTATTTTGTTCATCTTTAATTTTAAGAACTGTTGTAACTATTCTAGATGGAGATTATATACTCTATGCTAGGGTAACACCAAACTCACAGCAGTTGAGTACATCATGTTTATAACAGTTAGTCATAACACTGAGTTCCCACAATGATTTTCCCCCAACTTTGTGATGCAACTGACTTAGTCTTGTCTAAACAATATATAAAAACATAACTAGTTTCGCAATTTAGAGAGTAGAATTTCATTTTTTCTACATTCTTCTTTAAACTCCTTGACAGTTTTAAAGTACAGTCTCTGTTTTTCTATAAGGTCAAGGTGATGGTCACTCAGCTGGTCACGTTTCATCTTTTCTTCCTGTCTTTTCTTCTCCGCCTGCAAGAAAAACAAAGATTCAAGTAGCATCAGAATGATTAAATTCTGATTTAGTTATAAATATTTATGAGAATTCTAAATTATAAAAGTCCAACTGTCAACCCAGGTTTAAATTATTTCTTTGTTAAATTTTGTTCTGTTAACATACTAAAATGTTTGTTAATGCTGTGGTGATCATTTTGTTTTTGCTATAGAAATATTAAAAAACTCAACCACAAACAAAACTGCTTTTAACATGGTAATTTTGCGCTGTAAATCTAATAAATTGTCTAACATTGATTAATAAGAACTCTTCTTAAAAATCCTTTAACAAAATTGTTATTTAAAGGTCATTGAACTCTTACCTTAGCCTTGTTCTGCTTGACACCCTCAACAATCTGTTCAAACTGCTTGAGGAAAGCTTCCTTGTTGGTTAATGAGGACATTGCCCTGAAAATTGTCAATATTAGGAAACATAAAATCACTGAATTAAAGATGGTTGCTGGAAAATAAATCTACCTTTCACATATTCAACTGTGGGTGTTTACTATGTTATAATGGACCGTCAATAGGAAAATCGTTTAGAACATTGTTAATATTTAACTTTTAACCTTTACAATAACTTGTATACACTACACCTGACTCAATTTTTGAGAAAAAAATAAATCAGTGGATGAAGTTTTTTTTCTATGAATATATATGCTTAGCTTAAACAACAGACAGAATACTGATACATAAACTATCTGAAAACTAAAAAGTACTTACGTTTGGAAATTATCATGGATAGAATTCAAAAGCTGAACCTGCAATATAAGAGGTAAAGCATTTTTTTTTAAAAACCTATATATTTTGACTATTAAATGTGCTTAACAATTAATCAAACAAAGTTCTATATGACTAACCTCTTTAAATAAATAAGTTTTGGTGTCTTCCAGTGTGTTGTATAAGGTGAAAAATTGTTTGGTTTCCGTATGTTTAGAGGCCACTGAAAAAAATATAGTAAAACATGGTGAAGTCTTTTACACTGTAATACTAATAGTAAAATATATAACAATTAAAAAAAAACAAACAACTAATGCTGAAATTCATATACCGAGGTCATTGAAACAGATGAGTTCTACTTCCCCTGCACCATGGCCATCAGGTTCAAAAAAGTACTTAACTTTTTGTTTACTTTATAGCTAAAATATATTTCTGTTTTATGAAAATATGTGTATAAATTAAAACACAAGCAACAATTCACATTATTCTAGGGATAAAAACTAGCATACAGTCTGAGCATCACCACTAAATAGTTTCTGATTGAAGAAATCAGCATGACAAATTTTTTACAAAATAAATTCACTCTACTGGTAGTGGGTACCTTGATTATAGAGCTCAACAAATCTTCGCTGGTATTGACTCAACTCTGCTCGAGATGGAACTTCATCAATTTTTCTTTGTAGACTAGATATTTCTCTATTTTTCTTGGCCTGTTGTCAAAATCAAGAAAACAGTTAAGTCACCAACAAGTTGGAGCATTTTCATTTTCATCCCAAGACTTACTTTGCATCAACTCAAAGTGTATCAAATTATACTACAGCTATCTCAGCCACAATAATTTCCAATTGTGGAATAAATGTTGATGAGAATACACTGCATATAATTTATTAGTACAGGTACTTACAAGTAACAGCCTTATCTTGTGAAGTTTCTCCTTGTCAGCATTGTACTGCTTATCAATTAGGTTCACTCTTTCCTGTGAAATGTTAGGTCAATGTGTTCATATAATACTAGTGGGACTAGTCTAGTCCCTTAAAAAAAATCTCAAATATTAAATAAAAAAAAATTAATGTGATATAACTGAGTGGAGAGTATGATACTAATTCAGCAGATTGTAACCCATGTTGTCATTGTAAATGTTTTTATTTTTTCTTCCCAACTAGCTGGAAATCCCATCACACGCCACTGCTTGTTATAAAATAAATTTAAAAGGTCTCTAGTGACAGGTTAGAAAAAACCAACCTTGTCTTCTGAGTCTGCCTCATCCCCTTCAACTTTCAGTTTTTCAATGTTCTCTTTCAGCCTGGCCATTTCCTCCTGAAAAATGACAATATTTTTTGCTTTTGACTTTAGACAGAGAGCTGGAAACACTATCACTTTTTTTTGCCAAGGTTAGATGTAAAGAGCAACTCTACTTCATTTGTCTCATGGACCATCTGGTTTTAATGGGTACTTTAACATTATTACATGAAAATCTTTTCTCTACAATATTCTTCTAATGAAAATAATTGGGAAAAATCCTACAGCAATGTGGAGAAACAAGAACTAAGGAATAATGTGTATTAAAATATTAACAGAACAAATATAAAGGTATTTTGGTTCAAGTTGTGAGTGATAAGATTGTGAAGAAATGTAATTGTGGGCAGTGATATTAAGACTGAAGAACTTACCTTGCAGTGAGCTTTGAATTCTTGTTCTTGTTTTTTAAGGTTTTCATTCATGGCCACCAAAGATCTCAAAGTCTGAAGTATTCTTTAAAAAAAAAATTTTGTTTTTATTATCAAACATTAATTTTACAAGAAAAATGATCCAAATGGTAGGTTAAATTAAAGGTCTGTAATGCTTTAAAAAGTTTTCAATAAATTTAAACCTGTACTAAAAACTGACTAGATTGAACATGTCTTTTTTGAATCCATTCAATATTTTCTCCAGTCCTTCAAAACCTTCTAGCCGCTGTTTTCAAAAAAACCTTTCTGTCAATTATATTTTTATGTCAACTAAAAGCAATTATATTTTTCTGTCAGCTATAAGCATTTCTATCTGCACGCTCCATTAGGTATTTCTGTCAATTACGAGTAATTGGATACAAATTTAAAAAATTACCCTTGATTCTCCCCTGACTCAATGTCTGCAAGTCTTTCCATCTCAGCATCAATGTGGGCACTCTGCTGCTGCACCTCTTCCAGTTTCTGCTTAGTCTCCACATAGGCTGCATGCAGTTCAGTGTGCCTGGTGGACACCTGTGTAATAAACTCTGGTCACACTTTGTCCATCTCTAAACTCTGGTCACACTTTGTCCATCTCTAAACTCAGGTCACTCTCTGTCCATCTCTAAACTTATGTCACACTTTGTCCATCTCTAAACTTATGTCACTCTCTGTCCATCTCTAAACTTATGTCACTCTCTGTCCATCTCTAAACTTATGTCACTCTCTGTCCATCTCTAAACTTATGTCACACTTTGTCCATCTCTAAACTTATGTCACTCTCTGTCCATCTCTAAACTCCGGTCACTCTTGTCCATCTCTAAAGTTATGTCACACTTTGTCCATCTCTAAACTTATGTCACTCTCTGTCCATCTCTAAACTCCGGTCACTCTTTGTCCCATCTCTAAACTTATGTCACTCTTTGTCCATCTCTAAACTTATGTCACTCTTTGTCCCATATCTAAACTTATGTCACTCTTTGTCCATCTCTAAACTTATGCCACACTTTGTCCATCTCTAAACGTATGTCATTCTTTGTCCATCTCTAAACTTATGTCACACTTTGTCCATCTCTAAACTTATGTCACTCTTTGTCCATCTCTAAACTTATGTCACACTTTGTCCATCTCTAAACTTATGTCACACTTTGTCCATCTCTAAACTTATGTCACACTTTGTCCATCTCTAAACTTATGTCACACTTTGTCCATCTCTAAACTTATGTCACTCTTTGTCCATCTCTAAACTTATGTCACACTTTGTCCATCTCTAAACTTATGTCACACTTTGTCCATCTCTAAACTTATGTCACACTTTGTCCATCTCTAAACTTATGTCACACTTTGTCCATCTCTAAACTTATGTCACACTTTGTCCATCTCTAAACTTATGTCACACTTTGTCCCATCTCTAAACTTATGTCACTCTTTGTCCCATCTCTAAACTTATGTCACTCTTTGTCCATCTCTAAACTTATGTCACTCTTTGTCCCATATCTAAACTTATGTCACTCTTTGTCCATCTCTAAACTTATGCCACACTTTGTCCATCTCTAAACGTATGTCATTCTTTGTCCATCTCTAAACTTATGTCACACTTTGTCCATCTCTAAACTTATGTCACTCTTTGTCCATCTCTAAACTTATGTCACACTTTGTCCATCTCTAAACTTATGTCACACTTTGTCCATCTCTAAACTTATGTCACACTTTGTCCATCTCTAAACTTATGTCACTCTTTGTCCATCTCTAAACTTATGTCACACTTTGTCCATCTCTAAACTTATGTCACACTTTGTCCATCTCTAAACTTATGTCACACTTTGTCCATCTCTAAACTTATGTCACACTTTGTCCATCTCTAAACTTATGTCACACTTTGTCCATCTCTAAACTTATGTCACACTTTGTCCCATCTCTAAACTTATGTCACACTTTGTCCATCTCTAAACTTATGTCACACTTTGTCCATCTCTAAACTTATGTCACACTTTGTCCATCTCTAAACTTATGTCACACTTTGCGTGCGGCGTCAATTCGGCCAATGACAAAACGGCCCCGTCAAAACGACCCCGACAAAACGGCCCCGTCAAAATAGCCCCGTCAAATCGGCCCCGTCAAAAGGTTCATAGACAAATGGATCCCGTCATTTAGGCTCCAGTCAAAAGGGCTACCGTCAATAAGGCTCGCGACAAAAAGGCTCCCGTCAATAAGGATTCTAACAAATAGGCTCCCGTCATTACGACAACCGACAATTTGGCTCATATCATTTAGGCTCCCGTCATTTAGGCTCCAGTCAATTAGGCTCACTACAAAAATGGCTCCAGACAAAAGGGCTCCCAGCAAAAGGGCTCCCGTCAATATAGTTCCTGATAAAAGGGCTTCCGTCATTTAGGCTCGCGTCAAATTGGCTCCCGTTAAATTGGCTCATGACAAAAAGGCTCCGGTCATTAAGACTCTCGATAAATTGACTCCCGTCTATGTGGCTCCCGTCATATAGGCTCCCGTTATTTAGGCTCGCGACAAATAGGCTCCCGTCAATATGGTTCCTGACAAAAAGGCTCGTTATTTTGGCTCTCGTCAATACGGCTCCCGACATAATGATAATGGCTCATGTCAACACCCACCATTCCTCAATGGACTACAGAAATAAGCCTAAGATAATAAAGCGTCCTTAGCTTTAGGTCGCCATGTCTTAATTTTTTTTAAAAGTATTTCTTGTACTGTATCAATTTTTAGTTTAGTGGTCATCTGTTACATTTCTACTTAGGGGTGTAGGATGCTGCAGCCCATTATACACATGCCGGGCTAGGGTCCCTACGATACAATTACAGTCAATATGCTTCCAGGTTATTAAAAAAATATGACTTCTTTGACTCGTTGCCCCCTTTTGATAGCCAAATAGAGGACACGTAACTGTACTGTGTGTACTGTGGCGGATGGGGCAAGGGATGGGCACCAACAAGGCCGAGTTCTATTTCCCTACAATCAAACACACGCTGTCGCCGGCAAAATTCTTTTTAAAAAAACAACAAAGTCCATGGCACGAGAAGCCGCTACATATGAAGTGGGCTTTCGTGATGCGCGGTACTTCTTTGGTTAGGAACCCGAAATTCATTAAACATTTTTCAATGTTAAATAGGTGTTTGTGATAGTGGTTGAATTTGTATCCTGTATTATCTTGTATCCTACAAATAATAAAAAATAATATAATAATAGAAACTTCAGTTTTATATACGTTTACTTTTATTTTTATTTTACAAGTAATTTAATAGTAAACTTTTAGGGCCTATACTTGGAATTATCTCCCCTTAGTAAGTTTTACAAAGGGCGATGCTGACGTACATAAACGCTTTGTTGTCTCTTTCAAGTTTTTTCCCCGAGCCGACCCCCATCCCACCCCTCTTTTTAGCCTTGCAAGTATCGAGTAGATAAATGTATCGTTTATGAACTACTTCCTGGCAACATTCAACACTTCCGCACATTTTGTCAGACACTACACGTGTACAGTACTGGTGCATCTAATTCACATGGAAGGTAAGATAATTTTTTAATATAATTATTTAGAAATTTATTAGAACGTTTAGAATTGATTGAACATTATTAATAGTCAATTACTATTTATACATGACGTCATTGAGTTGGGGGTGTGTGAGGGTCTGGCATTTTGTTAGTCGTTAAAAAATGTGACGTCATTTGTGGATTTCCTCCCCCCCCCCACTAAATCAGAAGATTATCCACATATAGTTGTACATGTGAAAAATATTTTTCTGTCTATTATGCATTACTGCATCATTCACCCAATCGCCATGAAAACTTGGGAAGCTGTTGAGTACAGCCCCGCAAAGGTTTCTGTCATACGCCTAACATTTGTTTACATATTGGAGTGGGGACACCCAAAGGAAATATGTGATCTTGCATAAGCGGATGGGGTTATTACTTGAACCCACCGGCGGCAGTGTCATCCTGAGCGCATCACATATGAGCAGGTTGCCCCCCCCCCACCCCTACAGACAGTCGTTTAAAAGTTCCCACAAGTCTCGCTACTACACTCGATGACTAAATCTAATCAAGTGTTGCACCAAAGTTTCTTCCAGACATTTTTCTCCGAGGAGGGGGGTGCATTTGATATTTTCGTGGAGGGCGGGCTAAATTATCCAGGGGGGGGGGGGGGGGGGGGGGGGTCAGACATTGGTAAAAGTATATATGTTCTATATAAATTTCCATTTCATTCGAGGGGGGGGGGGGGGGCGGTAGACTGTTTTCGGGGGAGTGGAAGGGGGCTCTGCCGGAAGAAACAATGTGTCGCGCCCATCACCTGTGTAATGTAACCGGTAGCTCCCAAGAGCCCCGTGACTCCCCTGACACCTGGGCCGTCACCGAGGGACTTACAGCATGCCTTAGCGGGTCTAGTTGGTAGTGTGGACAAACCCGCGCCCTAAGATCCAAGACATTGTTAATATTTAATTCAACTTCTGGAAAACAGGGCACACTCTAAAACTACACGGTTGGTAACTTTTGATGAAAGCCTCATAAAAATCGGCGTCAGTTTGGTGTGTTGGACTAGATTTAGAGAATCCGTGTTTCTCACTTGAATAGGGCCAGCTCGTGTATATATATATATATATATATATATATATATATATATATATATATATATATATATATATATATATATATATATATATATATATATATATATATATATATATATATATGGGCCCAAAAAAAAATCTGCGGTGAGGGGCCTTTTTTTTCTAGTTCCGCCACTGACTCTGAATAACATTTCATTTAAAAAAATTAATTTAAATACTAATACATATTTTTTCTGAACTTATCTAAACGTCAACATAACGTTTTCAAGATAAGTCTGGGGTTTTGTTATACCGAGACAGAAGAAGGGGTGTAAAGATCGTATTACATCTTATGTCTACGGAGGATCTCTAATTATCTATGTGGAAGACACTTGTAAACAGAGTTTCTTCCAGGCATCTCTTCGGGGGACGAAGCCCCCCCCCCCGAAAATTTTTTACCGCCCCTCCCTCCCCCCCCCCCACCGAAAAAAAGTCTACCGCCCCCCCCCCCCCCCCCCCCCCCCGAAAATTTCAAGTAGTGCCCCCCTCGGAGAAAAAAGTCTGGAACAAACACTGCTTGTAAATCACAACCAGCATTCTCATAACAATTAATTCCAGTTTCTACATTTTTATTCATGGCTGATGCTAAAAATGACAAACAAAATTCTGTTTCATTTATTTCAGATAATGGAAAAAACAACAACCCAGAAAGGCAAAGATATGCTCTTGTATGAAGGATACCGCTATAAATTTGCCAAATGTAACGCTGACTGGAGTATTTCCTGGAGATGCCTGCAAGCAAACTGTCGCGGGCGAGTCAAAGTTTTAAATGAAAATATAACAGTTGTGTCCCAGCACAACCACGCGCCTGATCCTGAAAAGATACAGACAATCAAGGCAGTGGTGAAAATGCGTGAAAATGCGACACTGGAGTTCGGCAGACCAAGACAAATAATTAGAAGCGCCACAGAAGGCATATCGATGGATGCGGTTGCTTTGTTACCATCATATAATGCCTGTCAGAGAGTTATAGAGCGTAAAAGGAAGCTTGTTCTAGAAACATATGTAACTCCTCGGACTGTAGCAGATATAGTAATTCCTCTACACCAACAACTGACAAACCGAGGTTCACCGTTTCTATTATGGGATTCGGGAGCTCTGGACCCACATCGAATACTAATGTTTGGTACTTATGATAATTTAGACGCACTGAGAGTCAATTCACACTGGTTTATAGATGGGACTTTTAAAGTTGCTCCAGAACTATACATGCAGGTTTTTACGATTCATGGATTAATACAAAATAAAGCTCTTCCAATGGTATATGTGCTGCTGACTAACAAAACTGAAGACTCTTATTTTCGATTATTTGATACTCTTAAAACTTTACAGCCTGCTTTAAATCCTCTAAGTGTCATGTCAGACTTTGAAAAAGCTAGTCAAAATGCTGTTCAACGTGTATTTCCAACAACTGAAAGCGTTGGGTGCTTATTTCATCTTGGACAATGTCTTTGGCGAAAAGTACAGCAACTAAACCATGAGGAGGAATATAAAAATGATGAAAACTTTCGCATCCATGTCAAAATGCTGCTTTCTCTCAGTTTTGTCCCTCCTGTAAATGTTATCGCTGTGTTTGATGAGCTTGCTCTAAACTGTCCACCAACAATGAACGATTTAATTGCTTATTGGGAGGATACTTACATTGGAAGGCTAAGATTAAACGTTCGAGTTAATCCACGCTTTCCCATACAAACATGGAATGTTTACTCAAGGGTCACTGAAGGTCTGCCTCGCACTAACAATTCTGTCGAAGGCTGGCACAGGGCGTTTCAGCAATGTGTTGATTGCCACCACCCATCCATTTATAAAATTGTTGAGCATTTTCGCAAAGAGCAGGATCATGTTGAAATACAACTGCAACGTATCAGAGACGGCGTACAATGGCCAACTTCTTCAAAGTCAAAGTACGTTCAGCTGAACCGGAGATTGGAGTCAATTTTGCCTATGTATGGAATGATAGCAAACATGGATTACCTGAGACGTATTGCTCACAATCTTTCAATGTAGGATAACAATTTCCAGTTTCCAATAGTTGTGCCATGTTTTGTTAATTCATATTTTTGTCAATACTTTTCTAGGGATTGTTGATTTTTTTTTAAATTGCCAAACATTCTGAAGATTTTTTTCATACTGCTGTCAAGTAAATAGCAATAAATATTTTAACTTGAACAAGGCTTTGCCTAAATAATTTGTGGATTGCTTTGACATATAATCTTTTTTTAATAAAAACGTACGTGTCAATAAAATAAAGTGTATCTGAGTTCAACGATCTACGACTTACTTATTTGTAGTAGACATTGTAAAAAGAATCTACGGTAGCATATGATGTGAGAAACCTAATGTGGTTGGTAGGTGGGGGTAAATTGGTTACGTTTTATACAATTAGTCATAAGATTTAATAATCTCAAACGAATCTGAAACGAATCTGAAACGAAAACAACATCTGCATCACTATCCATCTGTCACTGATGTCATACTAACAAATCTTTAACCTTCTCCACATGTCATACTGACTTCAAGTTAACACAAAACCTTTACCGCTCTTCATCTAGCATTGATACCACACAAAGATAATACCGCTACTCATCTCAGCCTGTCATTGATACCAAACTAGCAGATAACCATCTACCCCTCCCCGAATAACATCTCTATAGAGGCTTGCGATGTAAAGTAGACTAACACATTGCTCAAACGCATGCATAATGTACAGACCACCCCTCCCCCCACGCCTTGTAATACTAGCTAGTATGATTGTTAACATCTTCGTGTGTTGTTTTTGTAGTCCAGGGAGCAATATTTCAAAAGCATGTTTCCTAGCCGTCATCCTTTTATGACGTCAACATGGTGGGGGGGAGTGTCGATTAACATCGACTGTCGTGGATAGGGAAGGAGGGAGGGGGGTCCATGTGGACATCCATACATTGAAATTAACTTGTGAAAAACCTAGACAACAAACGCAAAATGTGTAACATGCATGCTAAATTTAAACAGAAACAGCTGAGCTTGGGTCGTGTGGCGTAAACAACAGCTCAGCATGCACTTAAATCAGATTAATACAAAATTACAATACTCGAAACTTTGCAGAAAGCGAACTGTTTAAAGATAAAAATGTGATAACTCCTCAGAAAACGGTTTCTTTGTCGGGAAGTGTTTTAAGTCAGGAGTTATTTAACCGGAGCCATTTTAAAGTGAGCCAATAAGTCCTGAGCCCATTTGTCGGGAGCCCATTTATCGGGAGCCCATTTGTCTGGAGCCAATATGGCGGGAGTCCTTTTGTCGGGAGCCCAACTGTCGGGAGCCCATTTGTCGGGAGCCAATATGTCGGGAGCCCATTTGTCGGTAGCCAATATGTCGTGAGCCCATTTGTCGGGAGCCCATTTATCGTGAGCCCTTATGTCGGGAGCCAATATGTCGGGAGCCCATTTGTCGGGAGCCAATATGTCCTGAGCCTATATGTCGGGAGCCAATATGTCGGAAGTCTATTTGTCGGGAGCCTAAATGTCGGGAGCCCATTTGTCGGGAGCCTATATGTCGCAAGTCAATATGACGGGAGCCCATTTGACGGGAGCCAATAAGTCGGGGCCCTTTTGACGGGGCTATTTTGACGGGGTCGGTTTGTCGGGAGTCGATTTGACGGGGTCGTATTAACGGGGCCGTTTTGACGGGGCCGATTTGTCCCGGGCCGTTTTGACAGGGCACCCACACTTTGTCCATCTCTAAACTTATGTCACACTTTGTCCCATCTCTAAACTTATGTCACACTTTGTCCATCTCTAAACTTATGTCACTCTTTGTCCATCTCTAAACTTATGTCACACTTTGTCCATCTCTAAACTTATGTCACACTTTGTCCATCTCTAAACTTATGTCACACTTTGTCCATCTCTAAACTTATGTCACACTTTGTCCATCTCTAAACTTATGTCACTCTTTGTCCATCTCTAAACTTATACCACACTTTGTCCCATCTCTAAACTTATGTCACTCTTTGTTCCATCTCTAAACTTATGTCACTCTTTGTCCAACTCTAAACTTATGTCACACTTTGTCCATCTCTAAACTTATGTCACACTTTGTCCATCTCTAAAAAAATGTCAATGTTTTAGATGTAACAGGATTTCACTAAGACAAACAAGGGATCTTTTTATTCCTTTATGGCCCCAGTGAAGCAAAGGGCTTTGACCACACCTGTCCATTAGACTCAGTTTTGGACATGTGCCCATGTAAGCAGCCATTGCAAAAACATGGATCGGAATAAATTTTAATTTACTTATTTAAAGAGTAATACAATGTTAGTGGCCCCATGTTGCTTGGGCACAACAAGGGAAACTATGATGAATACAATGTTACACATGGTAGTTATACAGACCTCATCGAGTTTTTTCTTCTGTTGTTCTATTTGTTTCTTCAATGCACTGGTTAACCTCTTGTGTTGTTCAGCCCCGCCTTGTCTCTCCTGTTTCTCCATTTGTTCTATCTCTGCTTGCTGAAATCACAATTTTTAATTCTAAACTCAGCATAAATTAACTAGTGACTAACTGAACTCACCATCAATTAGTGACAAACTAACAGTAAAAAGAACATTTAAAAAATAAATAAATAAATAAAACAAATTCATACATCTGATAAAAAACTTTGAAACTAGAAACAAATAATAATATATAACTGTACTTCAAATATGTAAAGCATACAGACACTTACAGCCTATACTTATTTAGTTCAGATGTTACAATCTATATATATAATTCTCTTCTGGGAGACGCTAGAAAACAAGCTACAAACGCGCTCCCTACCATCCCCACCCCTACATGGTCTTAGTGAGCTGTGGTTCACGCTATGTTTACCTTCGTGGAGTCGGGTTTGGTGACGGCTATTAGGGGCAGATAATTTAAACGGTGAGGGGGGGGGGGGGGGGGGGCAAGGAAGGGGGGGGGGGTTATGGTCCTTAACGAGCTACTTATAGTGTTTTAAAGAAATATTTTCAGTGTCAGCGTTGGTACTGTCAAATTCACAAATTATGAATTACTGAAAAGTAGAAAAAGCAACATCTAAATAGCGGCGTATGTTATGCCGCGGGCCGGCTCGTATGTATTAATAACGGGCCGGCTCGTATGTATTAATAATTCATGCTTTGTAAAACATTAATTGACACATACATGCAGCAATTAATTAATAAAATACACATTTTAGCTTTTAAATGGAAACACAAAACTGTGTAGCTTGGGCTTTAGTCCAGCTGATGTTGCGCTATGAATGTTAAATAAAAAAAATTACAAACTCTTACTTTCTGAGCATACTCTGATGCCATTTGCTGAATCTCTTGCGCCTTTATCCCTACTATAGATCCAACGGCACTAGCTGTTACTTTACCCTATAGTTGTTTGGAGAAACACACATGCACACACAAACATAAATAGCATGCTTTCAATATCCATTTCATTGACAAAATGTACAGAATAATCTTAGTACAACTAACATTGATCTGCAAGCTATTACATTATATATATATTTTAGCTTAATTTAGTAAAATCATATTTTAAAAGATTCTAAATAAATATAAACAGAGTATTGCATTTTTTAAATAAGATGATAGTTTGATAGTGTAATTTTTTTTAAAGTTACATATTCTTTTTTTGACCTTGTAAAATTCATTACATTTTAAATAAGGTATAAGTTAGAAAGTAAATTTATAAAAGGGCTATTCCAACCAAAAAAGGAAATACACAAACTTGGGAATAAGAGTTTTTTGTCAAGTCGTTTTCTGATACAATCATACTTCTGAAATTTTCTGTCATAAGACTAAAAAAATGTTCATTACCTCTTTAGTATCCATAATAGACATTCCACTCATTAGGGCCTTGATACGCTAGTAATTAGAGTAGAACACACAAAAAATAAATAGGTTTTGCTGTTTCTTTTTATCTTCAAACATTTGTAACAGATTTTGATAATTATTATGGTGCTAAAGGTAGTATAAAAGTTAAAATAATTGAATATTTATGTTTCTTGTACTAGAATAACTAGAATAACCAACCTCCTCTTCAGCCTCAGCAGATTCCTCCTGTTCATTGTCTTTAGATAAAGCTGCAGCTAGGGCTTTCTTTTTGTCTCCCGCATCCTGATTGTTCATTGTTAATACACATAATTATTATAACATTTATAAATACACATGAAATCAAACATTTAAAGTACACCTGATTTTAAAATCAAACATTTTAAAATACGCATGATAAATCTAACAAACACTTTCAGCAGTTTATTAGCAAATAATATTTTATGCACATATTTATAAAATATGAACAACTAAACATACAAAAATACACAGGAAAAAGTATCTTACTATAAAATATTACCTTTTCATCTTTCTCTGTCTGACTAACTCTGTATTGCCTACAAAACAATTTAAAAACAGGAGAAATTTGAGCACAATCATTTCACAGTGACAAAAAAATGTTTAAAAACTTAAAGATAAAGGTTAATATTCTCTGAAACATGATAAACAAATTCAGAAAGTCCTGAACTGACATTTTTAAAATAATTTTTATCAATATTTATTTGGTGTTTTTAATTCCTCAATATCAACTGCAAAAATAAAACTGAGAATCTACTAAATATGCCATGTAATTTAAAAAAATACATAAAAATACCATCACAATGTAGCTTTACCTTCCATATTCTAAAAGGGTAGACTGAACTCTAGTCTCTTCATCCTTAAGTTTGTTAAAATCATGCCTACGAAAACGTCTCTGAGGTCTGTATGAATCCTTTAAAAATTATTTTGTACACAATTCTTATATCCTTTAAACATTTAATCTTACAAAGAAAAACATTCTCACAATTAGCTTTTCCTATAAATGCAAATCTGTGAAGCAGTTTCATTTGCACAAAATACAAAGGGATGAAAAGAATTTTAAATTGTCAAAACTCAGATTAATCTCCCCTTTTTAATTTGACAATGTTCAGGGCTACTGAGGATTTTACCTTCACATTTGAAAGAGTTTCTAAGGACTTGTCTTTAAGAGCTTCAAAAGCTTCATCCTGATAAATAAAAAAAAATATTGCAAGATATAACTGAACTGGGTGTTTAAGTTTTTAAAAATCTTTTTTTAAATAATCATTTCTTAAAATGCTGCACTTAAAACAGCTTTTGAATTAAAAGTGTGATTTGTATAATACTCAATGGTCAGGGATCAGAACCTAATAACAACATGATAACCATATCTCAACAAAGTACAAAAAATTGAATCATCAGTACAAGGTGAATCATAACATCTGAGATTACAATGCGTCTGGTGGCTAAATTTTTGTAATATGGCCTTGTAAGCTAATCAAAGTTCTGACATGAATTAATCCAAAGTGCACAGTGAAACAAGATAATGCATTAGCAAACTGATAGATAGCATGTGCACTCTGATTCTTAATTATGGGCTAAAGTTCAACAAAAAGAAATTTCTTTTTCCTTGTCAATCAACTATCAACACTGATAATAACGTTACAGTTGCAAATGATCAATATGTTAACAGAAGCTACCAATGTTCATTATCTAAAAGTAAAAAAATAATCAATTGCAGTACTATAGAACTATTTAAAAAAAAAACAAGACATTAGTTTTTGCCATTTTAAATATGGACAGAATGGTGAAGTTTTAATATTGCATATTTACTTTTTCACTTTGTGGTCCCTTGTCTTCCTATAAGATCTTTAATGAATTATAAATTTGTTTTTAAAGAATACTTATCTTTTTTATACAATTATAAAATTATAATTAATAGCAAAAAGTTTGAATTAAACAATTTTAAAATAAAGATCTTAGTATAATTTGTGATGTTCCATTCTATTCAACAACACAAAAAACATAACCAGGACCAAATAAAAAATATTTTTAAACACCTACTTCTGGCATTTTGTGGCTTTTGCTAAACTGTGAGATGGAGTATGAGCGGATGTAATCTCCCATCTCCTCCCTCGTCTCAATAGCCCTCTTCACAAGCCACTAAAATATAGAAAATATACATCAGTCTTTCTTCCATAAAAATTATTTCCCCATTTTGGATTATTACTATGGTGGTGGTTCTGAATTATTTATTTAAAAGGTGATGGTTCTATATCAACATTTAAAAAAAATGTGATGGTTCTAAATCATTACTTTTTAAAAAAATGTGATGGTTCTAAATCATTACTTTTTAAAAAAATGTGATGGTTCTAAATCATTACTTTTTGAAAAATGTGATGGTTTTAAATTATCATTTTATTTAAAATATGGTGGTTCATCATTTTATTTCAAATGTGGTGGGTCTAACTCATAATTTAAAAAAAAAGAGTTCAGTGGATCTTACTTGTACAACAGGAAAGATATGTATAAAATCAAGACCCTGGATTTGATGGGGTTCAATACGATGTGGACATTTCATTCGAGGAAGCACAGCAACAATAGATTCAGTGAGAGCTCTGATAAATACAAACAACTTTGTATATTTTACATTTAAGAAGTAATCCATCTTGAAGGACAGTTTTAAAAATATTGCTTGATAATTTTTTTTATTATAAAACTTTGCTAAACATTTAATAAATCGTTAATAACAGACATCTTGGTTGGATAACATGAATGAATAAAGCAGTTTTTAGCAACTTACATTTTCTGTCCTATAGTTGAGTTTTCTTGGAACAGCAAGTCGACATCCACATCAAAGTTACAGGTTGTTATACACCAAGTCATCCCACCAACAACCTGAAATAACATTTGGGACATTACTTTCTTTGGTTATCCTACCCAACAACCTGAAATAACATTTGAGACATTACTTTCTTTGGTTTTCCTACCAACAACCTGAAATAACATTTGGGACATTACTTTCTTTGGTTCTCCTACCCAACAACCTGAAATAACATTTGGGACATTACTTTCTTTGGTTCTCCCACCAACAACCTGAAATAACATTTGAGACATTACTTTCTTTGGTTATAAGTTATACTACTCAACAACCTGAAATAACATTTGAGACATTACTTTCTTTGGTTCTCCTACCCAACAACCTGAAATAACATTTGAGACATTACTTTCTTTGGTTCTCCTACCAACCTGGAGGACAAATCAAAGCTAATTTATTATTTATAGTTTTGTATTGCTACCTTACACCTAAACTGCAATAGCAACATGAAAAAAATAACTTTTTTCTTTTGAATATTTTCTATTTTAAATCTTACCCTGAACATTTTTATACAACCGAACATAAACCTAGGTAAGTTATCTAGTTTTCAGTGTGGACTTACTTTGTCAAATGGAGACAGTCCCTTGATACGAGCTCTAAAATATCCAGCAGCCAGAAGTAAGTCAATGGTCTGCTGAAGTTTGACATTTTGTTCCTCATCTTCTCTTGTTTCAACCTTAAAACATATCATTACATTTGCCTTTGATAGATGAAAACATGCCAGAAAACTAAGATCATCTATTTGATTATGACTTTAACTTGAGAGTAAAACAAACCCCAACTGATATTGTCAATGTTAATTATTACTACATACATGTTGATTAAATGTACGCTTATAAAAGGGGCAAATCTGTAAACATATTTATAAACTTGTAATTTGCTTTACACTTCCAAATAAATTGCAATAGAGCACACATAAATGATAATGGCCAGAAATCATAATTTTTTTTCAGAAGAAAATTTTATTTGAAAATCTATTCTTACATTCATTACTAAAACTGTAGATGTAGTAACTAGTTACTACAAATGCAAGGCAATCTTATTACAGTGTGCATAACCCAGCCTAGCTATTATTTAAAATTATTATTATAATACTCTACTCCACTTGGTTCTAGTAACCCCAGATTTTAAAACATTAAATTTTACAACTAATTTAACAACATATTTTTAGAACTTTTTTTTTAAAGATAATCCAAACAAACTATTGATGCTGGTGCTGTATATGTCAGGTAAACTTTTGAACTTCTCATGCACCATATACTGATATAGGCAGCTGACTGATTCCAGCCTGCTTTGCTTTTTGAATTTGCTTCAATAGCCTTTGCCTACAAGGCAGCAGTTGTTTGATTTTGGAGTAGTCTCTCTTAGATGAGCTGCTGTCCCCAACTGTTGAGCCTAATCTGCTTGCGGGTTTGAATTCGAGATTTTTCGGTTTAGCAACCATGAGCTTTACCAATTCGACCACAATGTTGAGTTATTATTTATTTATCCACCGCGATAATGAATTATACACTTGAAGTTGAATTCTAAAAAATGGATTAGATAAGCTGGTGAAAATAAATCTTCAACAAAGACCAATTTTCTAGTCATTTTCGAGCAACTCAAATCTTTAATGCTATGGCCAATGAACAATGGTTGTCATTACCATCACTTCAATTCATGAATCAATAAAAATTTAATTAGGTAATTAGGCTTGAATTTGAAATCATTATTGGGGCATTTATTTTTATATCTAGGCCCTGGGCCTATTAAAATTATGAAGTGTCTTTTCTCAAATGACTGGGAATAGTTGTATTATGATGTTCCTGGCTCAAACCATTTAAATGTCATCATCTATTTAGAACTTGGATTTTTTAGCCATTATTCATTAAAAGGGTTACTTTCCTTTTTTAATTTTTTTTTTTAAATTGAAATATTTTTTCTTGTTTGTGAAGTGATTGCAGGCATAATAGTTACACTACAGGAAAGGAAGTCACTTCCCCTAGATTTTTGCCGGCAACATTAAGAAAGAAAACAAATTGGGAAAATTGTGATGGTAAAATGAATTATAACTGATTAAAATAGACATGCTTTTTCATATGTTTTTTAAATTTTAAAATGTTAATTGACCATAGATAGAACATCATTGTGAATTACTAATGTGATGCATAATCATGAGACTAATTTAAAAATTACAATTAAGTACTGTCCTTCTAGCTTTAGAAAATTTTAGAATGCATAATTAATCAATCAACGTAGCAAATATGAACATAAACTCTAATCATGGTACTTTTTCTACACCATGCAGGATTTAAAATATATTTAATGGGCTTCTCGAATTTTGAGGCTATTCTTGGTAGGTAGGTAGGGTCCATTTACAGTAAATTTACTTAATTTTATTATTCACTACCTCAGTAGGCCCTAAATATTAAATAACAATACATAAGCTACATAGTAGGCCAACATACTACATAGGCCTACTAAATCTTGAAAAAAAGTCATTATTTAAAAATAAGGCCAACTATAAAATTATTAAAATAATGTAGGCCATTGTTGTATGATTTGTAGGCCTATACTATTGTCACTATTGTGCAATCATTAGTTTTCAAATTTTGCAGGGCACCCAAAAGCAGAGGCGTAGCGAGGGGGGGGGGGACGACATATGTCCCCGGGCGCCCACCTTAGGCCTAGGGGGGCGCCAAATTGAAAGTTTGAGGGGGGGGGGGGGGTTGCAAATCAAAAGTTTGAGAGGGGGTGCAAATCAAAAGTTTGTCCCCGGGAAGGGTCGCTACGCCTACGCCTCTGCCGAAAAGCGCACAGAATCTAGAATTTATGGTACCGAATTTATTTATTGGAAAACAGTAGGGGCCTACATTCTAAAAATCTAAATTGATCTAGATCTAATATTATAAATTAACGATGATTGCTTATACCAGTGTCTGACAATATGTTCTTCCGGCCAATGGTCTGCGTTGTACCGTGATGTCTAAAAATAAAACGTCAACAAAGTTACAAACTCACTGTGGCCTAAATAGGTCGCGCTAGGCACCGAGACAACAGAGATGTGTAGTTAATACTAGTTTTTGTAACATAAATACTCTTTGCATAGTGATTATGAAAATAATAGGATTTGGAGAGGTGCCATAACAAAAAAAAACTAAATTCAATAGTATTTAACTATCAGTATTTTTAGGGCCTATTTTATACTAGGCCCATTTATTTTTATTAGGCTACAATTAGGCCTAATATTTTAATATTATTAGGCTAATATTATTAGGCCTATATTATTTATTTTGACGGTTGACACACCCCCCTTCTCGACAACATAGTCACCAAATAATAGATCTAGATCTTATACTACTATAACTTTTTATCAGATTCCACACTCAATGTTATGAATGAATGATTTAAACCTCAATTTTATTTCCATCGGCATCTACAGTCGCAAATTTTTCTGACCCTGATCTCAGTCTACCAGCAAAAATACTGGAGGTCGCCATTTTTTAAGTGTCATGTGACCAAATGAACCGGAAACAAAACTTGGGGGGTTCCGACCTTATTCATTAACATATATTTTATAAAAATAACCTTAGCATGTTCTTAAATACTCCATTCTGATTGGTTCTTTCATGTCAGCCGAGCTACAAGAGTTCTCTATGGCGTGATAAAGTCGGTCAGATTTATCTTACGATGTGTTTGTTGTCAGCTGTTCTTCGACATAGAGATCTAAGTAAAAAGTATGTTGTAGTTCTGAAGTAATCATCATTTGAGATAAACTCTCAAACATTCCATTATTTGACGTGAAGCGTTTCTTAAGGAGCTTCTAAACTTGGTAAAGTGTAAACAATATTGACGAAACTAACACGCAGCCGACCAAATAACACAAGTTCACAACTGAACTTGCCTTGGCTGGTAAATTTTTTTTTATCGAGTCTAGAATCTAGAAATCTAGAATTAGATCTAGAGTAAAGTTCCGCGTGAGATCAAAACCTCGGTGGGATCACATTCCTGTTTATCGCTTCGTATAATATTTGTTTGGATGTTTTATACGAAACTACCAATATCTGCTGTAAACATGTCCATTTCTAAATATATCCAGGTCAAATTCTTTTGTTTCCCTCCTTCTGGAAGACTAGTTTTTAAATTTTCAAGTTTCGAGGTATGACGTCGTTGGCCATTCTAGTTCCCCCCTATGAAAAGCACTAGGTCCCGGATGAGATGAATAAAACCAACCAATCAAAGCTTTTATAACTAGGTTAACTATAAATAGCTTCTATTTATGTGCGGGAAACTGAAAATACTGTAGTTAAGGCTATTAAAACAATCTTGGAGGTGAAATGGGGGTGATCCCAGCTGGGGTAACGATTTTTGTGTTTTAACCTCACTGGGTACACCTACGACTTGAGCTAGACTAGGCTAGATCTAGATGCTCTATATTTCAAGCTAAGCCTAGAATCTGTATACTTTCTATTTTTTTCTGTTGTTTTAAATTATTTCAATCATCTACCTCTTCTAAATCTAGTTTGTATCTCTCATCCAATCATATGTTAAGCAAATGTTAAGTTATGTCATGTTAGTGATTGTTACGTCCCTTTGTTATGATTGTTATAGTTGCGTCCCTTGAGTCATCACTGGGTCATCCGTAATGTGTAGTTAATAAATTTAATTAACATGTTTTTTATTTGGTTTTGCAATCTATTAATTAATTATACAATCAACAACACGTTTAAAATGTGTAAAATGTTAATTCAATTGTTAAAATTGGATCAAAACGTAAAAAATACGCTAGTGATCCCAAGCAGGGACAGGTGATCTCAAGCAAAAAAAAAAGTGGGAAAAGTTGATCCCAAGCAGGTTCGTCACTAAAACATGAATATCTCAAATACTATGCGTATGAATACAAAATACTTCATGCATATTAGAGTAGAATGGCAGTGGAGTAATAAAGTACTTTCGGTTTGTTTCTGTGTGAAACGGTTACAAAATAGCGCCCGATAAAAATCGGGAGTTTGGAATTTTTCGCTATGCGTGATCCCACGCGGAACTTTACTCTAGTCTAGATTCTAGATCAAATTAAATTAGAGTATTGTATTTATTTTTTAGTTAGCCTAATATTCAAGATCAAGCTCTAGACTAGGCCTAGAAGAATCTGATCTAGACTCTAGATCTAGATCTAGATTCTAGAATCTAGTCTAGATCTAGATCTAGATCTAGATCTAGATCTAGATCTAGATCTAGATTTGATAATACTAATTAAAAATTATAGAAACTCCATAGGCAGGGCACATAGTTTTTAAGTTTTTAGTACATAGGCCTACTGAATACTTAACATTTTAACTTAAGTTACTTTAACATAGAGATCTAAATCTAGACTAGGTCTAGTTCTAGCCCCTACCTCCAAAGACCTAAAGCCTAAAAAAGTTGTCCTGTATAACCTCAACTGTCCTAAACTGAACTAAACTCATAAATTTTATATAGGCCTAGATCTCTAGATCTAGGCTAGCTAGATCTATCTAGATCTAGATCTAAATGCAAATGGCCCAAATAAATAATTCTCAACTAATAGATTCTAGTACACAATATATAATATATATATATATATAGTATATAGGCCCTGGTAGATCTAAATCTAGATCTGTCTCATTTCTCACTCACTCATCTAACTAATCTATTGGTACTGGCTGTAGTATTGTGGTATAGCATGGTTGAGTGGTTGGGCAAGCCCAAAAATCTTGAGTTTGGATCTCGAAACTGCTTGACATCTCTGAGTCCACCCAGATCTGATGAGTACATGACTTATGTTAAGGAAAGTAAAGGCCACTAGGAATAGTGCTGACCACACTATCCTTTCATGAACTCTATTTCATTAATAATGTGTCCTTTGGACCATTAGGCTGGACGGGGAATTTTACTGTGTTATCGTTTGCATTTTACTGTTTATCATACAATTTATGACTAATACTAATACTATACTTTACTATTAATATTAACTAGATATACTAGCCCTAGGGCCTATTAAGTATATATTTATAATATAGTCTAATTTAAGTTAAAGAACCAGACCAGCTCTATTTCATCTGACTTGGAATAAAGACTGCTACATATGCATTTTAAAAGAGATCTTATTATACTCTAGTTTGAAGGTTATTTAAAGTGAGAATTTTGTCTGGAGTTGAAAACAAATTTTAAGTAGGCCTACTTTGAAAACTACACAGACTGCTTGAACACATTTGACCTGGTACATGACCAAGATGATCATAAAGTGCTGATCATCACAAACAAGCTGCTAGAGCTGAATACTCCAGATTTGCTGTCCACACATTTTAAAGTAACATTTTTTGGCAAAAAAAAAACAACAAATTCCTAGAAAAAGAATCCAGAGAAAGGGTTGGATTGAATAGGAGGGCACAAGCTGCATAAATTACCTGCCAACATGACCAGGGGCCACTAAAGTAGAATCCATAAGACAGGCACAGGAAAGGCTGTCCCATCTGGTAAAGAGAACTGGAGGCAGACAACATGTAAAAGAATCTTGTGTGGAGTCCAGGATAATGTTTTTTTAGAACTGCTCTCATGAAGCTGCATTTGATTTCCTCAACTAGGTCCACTAAAATGCTTCAGACTATATCAATAGCCTATTTACTTCATGCAGATATAGCTAACATGTTTTTTTAGGCCTTTAGTAACAAGATATATCACATTCATTTAAAGAAAAAACCACCAAAAGCTTCAGATTTCCACATAAGACCACAATTCCTAATACCCTTCTGCTCTTTTTTTAATTAGCCATTCCCACATTTTATATTGCAGATTATCATTCTTATGGATGATACGTTAGGGGGTTGGGTTTAATCTCTGTAATAATCGACAAAATTATGTGGATATTGTTAAGAAAAATTCTTTTTACTACAATATTTTAAAGATTATTTTTATGTATCCACAGATTGTTAGAGAAAGAAGGCCAAAATGGGCAGTTTAAAAAGCTTAATAGCAAGAGGATCTGTACTATTTTTTATTGGGGTATTTTTTGCCCTTGTCCTCAACTTACTGCAAGTTCAGAGGCAGGTTACAGTATTTCCGCCTGAGGTGCTAGCAAGTTTATTTTCATCTGCATGGTGGGTTCCACCTAGTTGTGGCACAGCTGCAGGTACTAACTGGTTTTATGTAATTTTTTTTTTTTTTTTTTTTACAGTATTGATACTCTTTTTTTTAAAGTCTTATCTCAGTCTGAGAACAAATGGACACAATTCAGTTTTTAATATTCTTTCCGTTTTTTTTTTATAATTATGTTAATAAATTGTAGACTAAATATATAGATCCATGTGTATTTTTTTCTGTGGAAATATTTTTTTTAAAGAAACTATAGAGAAATTATTTTTTTTTACCTCAATTAAAAAAAAAAACAATTAAAAAATATAAATGTAAACTAAATCAGAGAGAGCTATTGAAATTCTGCTTGAGTAATTTTTAAAATGCAAGAAAAAATAATATAATTTTAAAAATTAAGATCTTTCATGTTTTGACAAAAAATTTAAACTTGTTATTATGTGAAGTATGGAGTTGTCATTTGCACATTGTTTATTTTCATTATTTTTTCTTTCCAGCTGTTATTGGACTTCTCTATCCCTGCCTTGATAAGCAGCTTGGTGAAGAGCTACGCTACAAAAGAGAATGGAGCAGTGTGATGAGATGTGTCGCTGTTTTTGTTGGCATCAATCATGCTAGTGCTGTATCCTTTTCATCATAAAAACTTTCAGATTATAGAAATAGGATATGAATGAGACTTGTAGCCTAGTTAAGCAGAAGTATGTTTATTTAAACATTTGTGGGACAGAGACAGGATGTTTTGCTAACATATAAGTATCAAGTTCAAATCCTGTGTTCATGTTTGGATAACGTCCCTGAGTCATCCAGCTCAGATGGGTAACTGACTCTTATTAGGGAAAGTAAAGACAGCTGAAACTACCCTGAAAGTTGAAAATATGAAACAAATAAATAATTACTAATGCCATATACTAAATCTTATTAATATAATGTATTGTTTTTTAACTCCATTGATATTGGGTTTTTTAAAAAAAAAAATTTCCTCCTGTTTCATCTTTATGATAAGACTTCCTTTTAAACATAAGTGTACTGATATTTCTCTGTTGGGTAAAACAATTGTGATTTACCTTAATTAAAGTTTAGAAAATTGATTTTGCCAACAACATTCAGCTGTCTGTCAGTCTAGCAGCCATGTCTATAGGGCTGTGGTGGCTGTTTGATCGCTCTAGGTCTGGTTTTGGATTAGGTGTTGGAATTGCAGTATTGGCAACCTTTGTTACCCAGCTTCTAGTCTACAATGATGTTTACAGGTAAGATGGCAGTTAAATATAAGATGTTGATAGTTTTAGTGTTTGAAGTGTTTAAATTTAGTGGAAAAGGATTATGATTTAAGAGATTTAAAAAAGCTACTTGTATTACACTTCCTGAATTTATAAACTGTTAAAAATATATTTGTTTACATTCTTTTGTGATAGTAATTGGTGTTTTCTTTAATAATTAAATAGGCCTACACACATTGTTTAAAAGTTTGGAGCCTATATTTTTTAATTCAAATTATTGTTACTAGAGGATTTACAAGATATTTTCTGTTTTTCAGATACACTGAGCCAGATTTTCTGTTTGTGCGCTCATGGCTGCCCTGTGTCTTTTTCTCAGGAGGGGTAACTATGGGCAATATTGGCAGACAGCTCGCCTCAGTAAGTTCAGTAAGTGTTTCCTGAAAGGTTTTTTTTATTTTTAACTCGTTCTTTGTTTGCCTTTGGCATTTTAATTGTTTTAATCTGAAGTTATTTGTCATTACATTGACATATCATTATAAAGTATTAATTTACTTCCTCATTGCTTGGATTTAAGTGGATGTCTGACGTATTTGTTTCCCTCCTCCTTTTAGTATGATAGTGAGTCTTCCGGCGAGCAGAGAGTGAAACAAGAGTAACTACACCCAGATACTTCAGTCTTAAACAATAGCATTGTCTTGTAAGTTGCACCGACGGCACTGCGAGATTTTCTCAAAGAATCACTTGTGGCACTTCCTGGATACTTCCTATGCAATACATAGACAGATGTTTACAGTAATCCATGGTGCACACACATCCTTCCACAGCCTCATAAACCACTTTATATTATAACATATTGTTATTAAAGTTTGGGGTCATTGTTGCTATCATTGGGTTAGACTTGGATACGGTTCCTATTTCATAGAGTTGGTCTCTTACGTTCATGATTTGAATCTTCGTTTCAGATGAGATACTGGCCTTTTGAAAATATTTATGCCCAACAATTTGGACTTTACACAAAGTGTTTTGTTTACAAATTTGTGGGTTAACTCGAGTTCTTAAACCAAAGTTGGATACATTTATTGGTAATGGCTGCAACTTGTCTCAGCAGTCTTTATTTTATAAATTATTGCAGTTGTCGAACTTGTATGGTAAAAAATTTTTTTTTTTTTTAATGGGTACAATATAACACATTTTTCCCCAGTATTTTCCTTGAATGCCAAAATGAAAATGTTTATAAGATTGAGGATTAGGTAAAGCTTTAAGCTCAGGTGTTTTGTTTTGAAAAAAATGTATAATTCTTACATAGTCCATTGTTCTCTGAATTATTCTACCATATCATTTTTCTGCAAGAAAAGCTGCTTTTTTGGTGGAGTATAAAAAAAAAAAAATTATTAAAGATATTGTATATTGTCATATTTTGGAAGTAACTGTTAAGTTTTTATAATGAGAGATACTAATTGCATTTATTAAAGTAGAAAGTTAGTCACATTTCATTAAATCATTTCTTTTAAAATTTTCAACTAATTATTCCCCTGAAATATTTTAATTGAATTTGTTGTTATATTTTTCCATTCATTTCTCACATAGTATAAGTTTTAATTAATACTTGGGTGTTGGTCTTGAAGGCATGAATCAGTTACTCCCCTTTGCTTGATTTGTTAACTGTTACATTTTGTCTCACACATGGGAAGATAATTTTTCTAGAGATATAGCTTTTCCAAACACATTTTTTAGGGCAATTTAAAACAAAAATTGTGTTAATTGAGTAAAGTTTCAATTCTTATTTACTTGAAAAATCTAATTTTTTTGTCTGGATCAAGTTCAAAATATTAAATAGTGAATTGTTTTGGGGAAGTGCGGCTTAAAACGTTTAACACAAAAATGTTTCGATCTCTTTTAGCTGGTCAAGTTAAATCTCTGGTTTTGAGAACATTAACCTGTACTGTTTCATTGAATTACATCTCCCATATCAATCTTTTAGCCAATGTTTGTTAGTATGGACGCTACGTCCTACAACTTTCTAAGCCCATTCTAAACCATTTCACACTTTGACATTAATAGTTTTGTTAACCAAGAAATATTCTTGATGTTGTATATTTGGTATTGGGAGTTTGCTGTTTGTATATTGCTGTTGTACATTTAGTATTGAGGAACTGCTGTTCCACATGTTAAAATTGATGAGTCTAATGAAGATCCCTGTGATTGCAATACAAAATCTGAATCTTATACTCTTAAATGTACATATAAATTTAATTCCAATGGAATTAAATGAAACTTATTTTAAAATATATTTGGGCTAACCACTGAGACTTTTTTTTGGGCAGTGTATTTATAAATTAACTTAAAAAAATATTGTTTTGAAAATGTTTTTATTACTATTTTTGAAAAAAAAAAAAGATGTACACTATCTGGTGTGTCAATTATGTGAAAAAATGTTGTCTAACATGTTAAAATAGGTGCTGTGTATGTAGAATGGTGTTTCTAATGTGTTCATGTTGGTGTGTATGTAGATTGGTGTGTATGTAGAGTGGTGTTGTTGTGTATCATCAGTATGAGATAAACCACTAGAATTCCCTGCAGCATCCATCTCTCATATTTGTCATATCATCTTCAAAATCTCTTGTAAAAACAAGTGTCGTATCCAAACAACACAGATCTGCTCTTGGTTGGAGATGTTTCCATTTACATTAATTAATTACCCTTTGGAAAATATTTTTTAGTCCCCGTTTTAACAGAAAAATTGTACCATTTATAATTTCCCTTAAATATTTTGTTAATACCTACCTTCTAATTTAAAAAATTGATAACCTCCCTTTTACTTAGTTGATTGGTTGTAAATATTTTCCATCAGGGTAAGATCACCAAAACTACTGTTGAAATATTATTTATTACTTGGTTATGCTCTGTATTTATTTCAGCGAAAATAAAAATTTAAAGAGTATAAATTGAATTGTTTTACATTAAAAGTTGTATGTTAAACGGAGATGATCTAAGCTGCAGCCATTGTGTATGAAACATCATGGAATGTTTGATGTGGGAACCACGTCTTGTAAATATATAAATACTAGATAAATGGCCCGTTGAGGAAGGGTACAACGGGCGCTAGGCTGATAGTGCTGTCTCTTTTCTCTAAACTAAAACCATCCCACCCCCCCCCCCACACACCCCCACCCCCCCCCCACCCCACACACACCACCCCCCACCCCCCACCCCCACACACACCTCCACCCCCCACACACAACCCACCCCCACCCCCACCACCCCCACCCCCCCACACACCTCCCCCCACCCACCCCCACCCACCCACCCCCACCCCCCAAAAAAACATGTCTACCGTCCCATTCAACGAAATATAATTATATACTTTTTCCAGTGTCCGCCCCCTTCCCGAAAATTCTACCCCCGCCCCCGAAAACCTCAAGTACCCCCTGCCCCTCTCCGGGGAGGAAAAAGTCTGAAAGAAACACTGGTGTCGCGCTTAGCCACTACGCGAAGAATTGCATTAAAGAAATTGCGAGAAAACCACTTTTTAGATTAGACACATTAATTAGGTGGTAATTTTATTATAGAGTATCGATGAGGAAACCACCCCACCCCACCCCCCCCCCCACACACACACCTCCACACACCACCCACCCCCACCCCCACACACACCACCCCCACCCCCACCCCCCACACACCACCCGCCACCCCCCCCCCCACACACCACCCACCCCCACCCCCACACACACCACCCCCACCCCCACCCCCCACACACCACCCGCCACCCCCCCCCCCCACACACCACCCACCCCCACCCCCCACACACACCACCCCCACCCCCACCCCCCACACACCACCCGCCACCCCCCCCCCCCCACACACCACCCCCCCACCCCCCCACCACCCCCCCCCGCCACCCCCCACCTCCCACCCCCCACCCCCCACTCCCAAAAAAATCATGTCTACCGTCCCATTCAACGAAATATAATTATATACTTTTTCCAGTGTCCGCCCCCTCCCAGAAAATTCTACCCCCGCCCCCGAAAATTTCAAGTACCCCCACCCCTCTCCGGGGAGGAAAAAGTCTGAAAGAAACACTGAAACCAACCCACCCCCCACACACCACCCCCCACCACCCCCCCACACACCACCCCCCACCACCCCCCCCACACACCACCCCCCACCCCCCCCCCCCACACAACACCCCCACCACCCCCCCCACACCCCCACCCCCCCCCACCCCTCCACCACCCCCACCCCCAAAAAAAACATGTCTACCGTCCCATTCAACGAAATATAATTATATACTTTTTCCAGTGTCCGCCCCCTCCCAGAAAATTCTACCCCCGCCCCCGAAAATTTCAAGTACCCCCACCCCTCTCCGGGGAGGAAAAAGTCTGAAAGAAACACTGAAACCAACCCACCCCCCCACACACCACCCCCCCCCCACACCCCCCCCCCCCCACACACACACACCCCCCCCCCCCCCCCCCCACCCCTCCACCCCCCCCCCCCCCCCCCCCAAAAAAACATGTCTACCGTCCCATTGCAAGAAAACCACTTTTTAGATTAGACACATTAATTAGGCGGTAATTTTGTTATAGAGTATCGATGAAGAAATTTCTTTTGAGTTGGGGAGGGGGCGGGGGGGGGGCTCAGACGTTCTTACGCGGGGGGTGGGGCTTCGCCCCTACCCGAAGAATTGTATGCAAGAAACTCTTCACGCAAACCATTTAGATTAGACAACATTTCCTTTTTATTATTCCATGTTTACGCGATAATCAATGACGTCAGTGCACTAAATGTGGCGACGTCATACTTCGTCTTTCGTTTCACTGTGAGAGTTTTTATTTTCCTTATGTTTTCTCTAGAGCGTTCTTGTCAGAATTTTTGCTTATGTTTTCTCTAGAGCGTTCCTTTTTTGCTTATGTTTTCTCTAGAGCGTTCCAGAGCGTTCTTGTCAGATAGATAGATACACAGACAGCGAAACTATTAGTATTGATTCCTTATGAAATAAAATACTAAAAAGTCAAGATTTCTATGTTCATTATTTTTTTTAATCATACAGTGTGAGAAAGTAATTATGTGTACTTTTTATAAGATTAATTGTTTTTTACGGAATGAAGTTTAAAAAAAAAACCCACTTAAACAAGATGTATCACTCTTGTGTGGCATAAAATGTATTTACTTTTTAAAAGTTATTTCCCTTGTTTAGTCTAAAACTCGTTTTGTTATAATCATGAGACCTACTATTTAATTAAAAACGCATTTACTTTAATTGAGATTTATTAAAAAAAAACATTACTATAGTAGGTGAAATATATATATATATATATATATATATATATATATATATATATATATATATATATATATATATATATATATATATATATATATATATATATATATATATATTGATTTTTTTGTTTCGCTTTCGATCGTAGTTGCATCTTAAGCCAAATACACGAACACTGTCGTGCATAGGATCCCTCTTGATAGGATACCAAATCTAATTTTCCTCTCGATAGGACATATGGCCGAGTCAGCAGGATTATTTTTCGATTGGGCCTAGAAATAGTTTTAAAGACCAGAATCTCTTCCCTCATCCCCCCCCCTCCCCCCCTTTCCAAGATATGATTAGTATAGGATTGAAGGTAGAATCATATTTGTATTAGTTTTTCTTCTTCTCCCCAGTATATTAGCAGTGTTTCCTTCAGTCATTTCCCCCCCCCCCCCCCCCCGCCACGAAAAGATGCCTATATGCCTGAAAGAAACTCTGTTTATTAGCAACATATCACGGCCCTTTATAGTATTATATATATATATATATATATATATATATATATATATATATATATATATATATATATATATAAGTATTTTGATTTTGAAATTTTACCTCACAAACTAAAATTTAGTTTAAAGTTTGCAAGAATCAAACAAACCTCCTTTCTCACGATCAAATCGATTACACATCATTTACGGTTTAAATCTCAAAGGATTGCACATCATGTATATAATAGACAGCATTCGCGATGAAATATCGCCTGTCATAACTCATTGTTGAATAGCTGGCTATAGGCAAAGAAATCATTCTAGAAATAATTGCCTCGCATAGCAGGATTGTTTAACTCAAGTCATCTGGAGTGGAACACCTGCTTGCTTTTTAGTTGATTAGGCAC